GCTAGGAGCTAGTGTGGTTGCCTACATTTTTTTTAGCCCATGGACATGGAGAAAATTCAACGTATGCTCAGGCAGCAAAGGCTCATGGGACTTTTCATAATTTAAAATTTGAGGATGTGTGGTCTAATAAGGTGTGCAAATCTATATATGGGCTTAAATCTAATCTAAATGTCTATTGTAGTTACTTATATTTTATATTTAATCTTAACATAATTACAATCTAGTAACCAGGACAACTGCCAGTGGGCCAAATCAAATGGCTTGGTGGGCCAATTTTGCCCCGCGGACCCCACTTTTGGRACCTCTGATTTAGAGGAAAAAGGCTAAAGAAATAAGCATTATTTTATGCTTTAATACTCAGCAGCAAGCAGCATAAGAGTACTTTGCAGTACTGTTATAGTCAAGACCACCTAACCTGAGACCAGGTCCAGACCAAGACCAGTGTCTTGTCAAGAAGAGCTTTTGGGGCTGGATCAAGTTGAGAAAAAAAAAACAGAAACAGAAACTAGTACCCTAAAACATATACTGTACGCAGGTAGCTAACTTGTTATGTACAGCTAATATTGGCTAAACACTTRGTGTGTAGGCTGACCTAAAGTACTGTAGTACAGAGGCAGATTGCTAACTTTAGCTGGTTAGCTTTGCTAACATCGCTAACACATTGGCTGTGTCTCAATTCATGGGTTGCAGCCGACYTAGACCGCGGCCGACYTTGGCCACAGTCTACATGGGCCGCAGGCCGCTTGTGTCGGCTGCGAAAACGGCTGTGAGATGATGGTCTGGTCTACAGAAGACATATATTTGCATGACCACGCGCTGCGTCGTTATCATGGTGATACGTTTTATATTACATTGCTTCGATTGTTTTTGGGTATAACTTCACAAAATTCGGTTTTAACAGAAAAAAGTTACAAGTAAATAAATAAAAAGCATTAATAATTTTGGTTTACCACCAGTATTAGTACTTGTAACTGCATTTTATTTAACATTTCATTCAACTAAAGTTTCTTCAGCTAATATGCTTAATTTACATTCTTCGGTCCATAAATTTCCAAGCTCTGTCATTTAAAAAAAAAAAAACCTTCACTGTCTTTGTTTTCCTGTTTAATTTGTTGGTTCGGGGATACCGTCGGCTGCATAGGATACTCAGATGCAGCCTAAGTTTTTTGGGTTTTGTCGGCTGCATYAGTAGGTGCCTGCAAATTGGGACAGCCTACGGCGCGGGGCAGTAAGCGGCTGACATATGCGAGGGCTGTAACCCATGAATTGATACACAGCCATAGCTTACCTTTCTTTGTGCTTCCTTTTTAAGTGACTAAAGTTTGATGTGGTCCCTACCCACCGTCTCTGAAAGTGAAGCGCTGCAGAATTTACAAGTCACTATATGCTTTCTCCTGGATGTTGTTTTACAAATATATTCTTTATAATTTATACAGCCAGATTGTATTACTGAAGATTTAGACAACATCTGCCACTCCCAGACGACCACTGCTCACTTTCTTGCAGTGTCGTGTGCGAGTGAATGGGTGGGGATGGAGTGACATCGAAAACAAAAATACATTAGTAATGAGTCACGCTTGGATTTGAATCAGTACATTTTGCATACAATGAAAGCAATTTTGTTAACAAATAAATTGGACAATATTCTGACAATGTAGTGATATTTTGACTGGTCTTGAAATAAAATCATGAGTCCTCGATGCTCTAGACAACACTATGTACAAAAGTGGTTTCAAGACCGTTCTCGAGTACTACAACCCTGCTTTTGTAGGCAAGTGCTCACAATGCTCACAACTARTTATTTAAAAACAAATTACTTTTTGGAAGCCACAAATAGATTGGCAATTTATCCCTGGATTATCACACAGATCAATCCCTTGCATAGCATTACACTGACAAGATTACAGTGGCTTATAGGTCAAGGCCTCGCGCTAGTTTTCTACCGATCGATATGTGACATCAAAGTGGCTGCATCTGTCTTTTTTTAAATGGTTTCTGTTCACATCACTAAATTTAACCCAACCAGGGGCACATTGCCTTCAATGTAAGTGAGCTATTTTCATGTTTCATGGCACAACATCTTTATCTCAATGATGAGAATCTTTGTCTGGCCTTAAATAATAAATTTGTCTAAAAAAGTAGAATAAACAGTGAAGTTCTTACTTTTTTCTTGTTTTTTTTTTCTTATTTCAGGTTCACAGAATCTGTCATTAGCTCTGAACAGAGATGCTAGCAGGCTTTGGAAAATAAACAAGTCTCATTGGATGATTTATAGGAATAGAAATGTCTCTCTGACAACCAGATGGAGAGAAATGGGCTGTGCTGTGTGTTGACAGACAGCTGAGTTCAGTAGTTTAAAGTGCCACCACTGCTGAGGGGACCAGCAGATGTAAGGAATCCATATAGCAGAATAATTGCTGTGCCCAGAAATGATGCTGCCATCATAATGTGCCATTTGTTGCTTTCATGTGGCTGTGCACATTAAGTCTGATCTCCGTTTCACCATCGCTCCACCCTCACTGTCTCTGTCTGTCTAGTCGACCTGGATCACTGTAACTCCTACACAGCCTATAGATTCCAACGGGGGCTAGTCCTCCATGTGTGAACATAGTAAACAATTATAAGCTAGCTGCAGAACTGCCCCCCTTCTTTCTCTCTCTCACCACCCCACCTTATTCCTTTTGCTCACTCTCATCTTTCCTCATCTTCTCTCTAACTGWGGCTTAAATAGAATGTTAATTTGGACTGGAGCTTTTCAAAGACGAGCCACTTCCTTTTCATCTTAGTGTGCACCGCAAGTTCACCAACACAAAGTGGCTTTGCTTGTCTTCTAAAGGGAAGTTGTTTTTTTCTTTTCCCTTCTGTTTTTTTTAATTCCCTCATTTCTTTCCCCGTCTTTCTTCTCTGTGTCTTCTGTCTCGCRTCTAAAAAAGACATGAGACTCTGGGAAAAGAGGTGTTTCAAGGTGACCGTTTGCCATCCCTCTCTTCTGCAAGTGAAATGTGTGGGGMTTTTTTTCTCATGCAAGTTTCTTTGAGGCCAATGCAATGACTGGGATCAGACCAGCATTTTGTTTAGTGAACACATTTTGTAGCTTCCTTCTGGCAATAGCTTTCTTTTAATTCTGGTGCATATGCACATTTCTGAGAGCGAGTGTGTTTACTCATCGGTGCAGGTTAGTGATCAGACTCTTCTGTCTGGTCTCTGTGAGTCGATGAGGATCAAACTTGTTTTTGAACGTCTCCGTTTCTCGCTTTATCCGCCAACAGCTGATTGCCGAGCTGCAGACATCTGTGTGCGACTCAAAAGAGGAAGTTGTTCGTCWGCAGCAGCTGATGGAGAAGCAGCTGAAGGAGGTCAACGCTCGCTGGGTTGAAGAGAGACAGACGATTACCCATCGTGCCGATCAGGCCAACAAGGTTTGTGTGTACTTGTGTGTATTCTACAAAGTAAACAAATTTACCCGGTCTTATAAAGTGCTTCTTCACTACACAGTGACCTGCTCACCTGGCTTACCTGAACCTCAGAGCAGTTCCAGGTGGATTCCTAAGAGAAAGATCTTGAAACACCTGCCTTGAACGTTAATATAAACAAGCAAAGTGCAACTTTTTAGAAAACAATGATGTCATCTCCAAATTAACCTACATTCCACTTAGGTTGTAGATTAGAGGTAACAATAACTACAGAACCTAGTTAACATTAACATTCTCCACAACAAAGTCGGTGAAGTGGGGAAAAAATTGGAGTTTGGTGTTTACATTTTGTACCCATCGTGTAGGGCCCGATGATCCAGTACATAATATGGAATCTTATGGAATTCTTTTGTTTGGGCAAGCAGGTAAAGTATTTTAAGGTATTTTGGCAGCTGCCGCCCCCTGTACCTGCCATTACCTGGTTACGTGAATGCGAGTTGGGCTCTCACACAGAGGAAACAATAACATTAATAGGTCAGCCATGGCGAAGGTAAAGGTTACCTATAATACGATCTTGAGTATAATACAATAATCATTGAGCCTAAAAAGCCTAAAAACACACTCTTTATGGATGATTTTTAGGGTTAAATTTCTAGTATTATACATGAAAAAATACAGTACAAACGTTTTAGGTTAATAAAAATAGTTAYAATGAAAATAAGGAAATCAGGAAAAAAACAGAAAAAGCAAAATTTAGAAAAATAAACAGAAAATGCAGAATTTGGGAAAAAATAAATTACATTTCATTGTTCCCTAATCATGCAAGCTTTAGAGGCAGAATTTTTTTTGATGGCCTCCCTTCTCCCCTTATAGCCATCTCCTCCACACCATTATTATGTTTTTTTTAATAGAAGAAAAAGAAGAAGAAGAAAGAAAAAAGTGAAATGTAATGAGAAAGAGTGAAAAAGAGATTATATGTTGAGAAAACACAAGACAGCACACCGGGCTTCTTGGCTCCACACCTGCAAAACAAAGATAGCAAAACCACAGCAACGAAAATGCATATCTATATAATTATAATGACTATAGCCTTGCTGAAAACCATACCCAT